ACCTTTTGCTTTCTTCCTATATGATGTTCTTGATGTCATCCCACAACTCCTCTGGTCTTTGATCATTAATGTCTAATACACCAAATCTGTTCCTGAGATAGTATCTAAATTCAGGTGGGATATGTTTAATGTCATATTTTGGCTCTCGTGGACTTGCTTTAATTTTCTTCAGGTTTAGCCTGAACTTGCATGTGAGTAACTGATGGTCTGTTCCACAGAATGCCCCTGGCCTTATTTGACCATCTCTTCCTTCAAATGTAGTCAATCTGATTTCTGTGTATGCCATCTGGTGAGGTCTACATATATAGTCGCCTTTTAAGTTGCTTTCAAAAGGTATTTGCAAAAAATAAGTCATTGATCTTAGTATAGAAGCTCCACTAAAACATATCTGTTGTGGGTGACATTTGTTGTTGTTGTTGTTAAGTGTCACCGAATCGATTCCAACCCATAGCGATCCTGTGTAGGGTTTCCAAGGAGCAGCTGGTGAGCTTGAATCTCCAACCTTGCAATTCAAATTACTTTGCAGACTGACGCATTAGCCCACAGCACACCAGGACTCCTACTAGTAGTTAAATACTATTGACATAGTTACCTACATCACAGCAACATGAAGCCACCACAGTACAACAAACTGAAAGGTGAGTGGTGGAAGATAAGAATTCTAACACTGAACCACAACTGTCACCCTCTCTCCCATTGTTGTTGTTAGGTGACATCGAGTTGGCACCAACTTAAAGTGACCTTATGCACAGCAGACCAAAACACTGCCCAATCCTGGGCCAACCTCACTACTGTTGCCATGCTTGAGTTCATCGATACTGCCACTTGGCCAATCCATCTTGTTGGGGGTCATCCTCTTTTTCTCTGACCTTCCACCTTACCAAACATGATATCCTTCTCCAGTGACTGGTCTCTCCTGACATTGTGTCCAAAGTGTGAGAGACAAAGTTTGGCCAAATTGGCCTCCAAGGAGCTCTCTGGCTGCACTTTTTCCAAAACGGATCTGTTGGTTCTTTTGGTAGCCCATGGCACTTTCAATATTCTCCTCCAACACCATAACTCAAAAGCATTGCCCATGCCCCTACCAAAATTATCTTTCAAGCAAACAGAATTTCATGTATTATTTCTCTGCATAAAAGTCTTTCCTACCTTCCCACTAGGAGTCCTGGGGTGGCACTCTGGTTTAATGCACTGGACTGCAAGTTCTGTTTAAACCGCATGGCCAGCAGTTCATACTCACTAGCCACTTCTTGGAAACCTTATATAGGGTTGCTCTGAGTCAGAATCGACTTGACAACATCGAATAACAACAACTACCTTCCCACCTCTCAGAAGATGGATTCTTTAGAAATGGCATGGGTTTTCACATTGAAGCTCAGACTTTTATTTCTGGTCTCACCACTCATTTCCCAATACACACTATCCATTTTAACAACATTGAACTAATTAAAATCACCAAATATAATAAATCTTCCCTCACCATTACTTAAATTATATACTGTTCCTGCAAACAAGAGTATGTGAACTGTAAAGTATAGGAATAACAAAATGACAGTTGGAAATACTGGCCATGTCAGATTATAGTTATTATTTTAAGCAAGGTAATTATGCTCTGCATCTTTTACCTAAAACATAAGTCTCTGATTCTTCAATGTTGGACTTCTAAAATCTATATCTCAGATGCTACTTTAGTGTAAACGTTAATTTGGTAAATCTACTGATGGAAACACATTGATGCAATCGATTTAACAAGGAAGTAAAAGACTTTACCAGATAAATAAAATTGAAAGAGCAGGTATGAAATGGATTACAAAATCTAGAATGCTGTTTTTGGATTTCAGTTCTATTATAGACTTTTTTGGCATTTTAAAGGCATTTCTAATTAAAAAATATTATTCTGCTTCACAATTGTCATTCCTATCAACTTGAATGTTGGTTTTGATAAAGTATCCCTTTAAATGTTTACATTATTAGCCACTCCTTAGTATACCCCAGTGGATATTTGTATAGTTAATCCATTATGATTAGCAATATATGGAGTCCTACCACCAGAAGACATGTCTTCAGCTTTTAAGCATTTTTATCTTTTATGGTAGGATTGACAGGTGCAGAATTGTTTCACCCACTTGCAAGCTTCTTCCAGTAAGATGTTTAAGTCACAAATTACAGGATACTTATTTACATTACTTACTTCATTTTCAGCTCATGCATACCACTGACATTCTAAATTTAGGCAACTAAATAAAAGTTTGACTTTTGGGGCTTTGGGTTGTAATTAAACTTGACTCCTTGAGCTAATATTTCTTTTATTTTCTGTTCTTTTTACCCTCTGGGCCTAATTTTGCTGTGCTTACAGTGTATGCAACATGTTTCTCATTAGTGTTTATTTACTACCACAGGAATCACTTTGAATGCTACTAATCCTAGTGGAAATGCTTTTATCAAAATAAACCCAGATCATATTGGGTTTTATCGTGTAAATTATGAAGAACTAACATGGGAGTGGATAGCTAGAAATCTGTCTGATAACCACCAGGTAAGAGAAAGCAATGACTGAATTGTTACATATTTTTCCTAACAGCATCTTAATGGTTTTAAATTTTTCAACATGCTTTGGTTAATTTAGGAATATATTCCTTACCTCTTTTCCTCTTTACAGAGCTTTTCTTCTGCTGATCGGGCAAGTCTTATTGATGATGCTTTTGCCTTAGCAAGGTGAGTTTTAGAGTGAGATAAGATTATAGAAAATACCACCAATTTTGTTAAAAACAATTTTTGAATGAATTTCAACAAAGTGCTACAAAGTCTTTAGGTGTTAATAAACTTTTGTTTAAAACATCCAATGCCACTGTTTATATCTTTTTTCTTTTTGCTTAAGCCTTCTGTTATAAGTTTTTGTGAGTATTCTAGTCAAAATACTGATATTAACCCTTAATATGTACACAAAAGACCTTTATTGACTTTGTGTAGGGCTTGTCTATATCAGACTCCTTGAACGAATTAGGAGTGACATTTGCAAATGCTAAAAAGTACATATTTATAATTTGATTTAATAAAAAGGGAAAGCAATGTATTTCATTAATTCAGTTATTTGAGCTTAAGCCCTATGTAAGACTTTATGGCTAAAATTGTCAAATCATGTTCAGGTTACTTAGGTAAGAAGACTAAACCATATGCTCTGGGATTGATCAGAATTTAAGTGGCATTTAGGAAAAGTTTACTTTTTTCATGTCTTGAAGGGAACCTACAATAAAAAACAACAACAACAAAACAAAACAAACAAACAAAAAAAAACACCTCAGCATAGATTGTTGAATGTAAGAGTAGTAGCCATGGTACTGCTGAACATTTTTTTCAGGTAATCTAAGAACAATGAATTTAACAAATATTTATTGAGTGATATGAGCAATATACTAAGAATGAGATACCACTTGCTAAAGACTTCTAGGATTTCTTGGATAGAGAGCCAGCCCTCTGATGGACCCCTCTATTTCTTCACAATGTTATGCTGTCATTTTAAAATATATTGTCCATCTTCCCCCATTAATCTGCAAATTTCAAGAAAGTAGACACCCAGACCATCTTCCTACTCATTTTATTGCTAGTCCATGCCTTTGCCTTGCTCATAGTAAACCAAACTAAAACAAGCCAAAATCGTTACCATTAAATTCATGCCAATTTATAATGATCCTATAGGACAGAGTACAACTGCCCCACAGGGTTCCCAAGGTTGTAATCATAAAGAAGTAGATTATCACATCTTTCTCCCATGGATCAGTTGACTGAACTTCAACCCTTCATTTGACAGTCAAATGTTTTCATCACTATACCAACAGGGTTCTTTGCTCACAGCACATGATGAGTATGACTGGAAGTATTGGCATTGGGCTGATAACTACAAGGTTGGTGGTTCAAAACCACCAGCCTTTCCTCAAGAAAAGATGATGTTGTTTGCTCCCATAAAGTTTTACAGTCTCAGAAACTCTATATAGGGTGGCGGAGTCAAAATTGACTCAATGGCAGTGCAATTTTGAAGGCATGAAAGAACTATTTTACACGGACCCCCTAGAGAGTGTATTGAAAGCCAGAAAAAAAAAAATTTGATGGTTATCAAAGGGGAAATTATAGGTCTAAGACACAGGCCATTGAACTAGATTATAACCTTGAATAAGTTTCTTAACCTGTCTGTGTTTCAATTTCTTTACTAGCCAAAAGGATATGACTTCATAAGACTCTAGAGGAATCAATGAGATAATGTCTATAAAATACACTCCAAAATATCTGGTCTCTGTTGTTGTTAAGTACTGTCAGTTGTTTCTGATTAATAGCAACCCTTTATGGGATTTCTCAGGTGCACCAGTGCTGATCCTACAGCACCATGCCAAGACTTGAGTCTTTAGAAAATACTTTATAATATCATGATAATTATAATGGTGGTTCCAAGAATAAATAG